TACCAAAAGTGGAATTTCTTCGGTTGTTAATTACTACTAATTCCAAGTTTTGTGGTGTTGGAAAAATAAAGGTTATCCTGGTGCTGCCGTTCCCCTACCCAAAAAAGAGAAGATGATCTATATGTACTATATGCCCAAAGGAAGTGGTAAAAGTTCCTCCGAGACAGACGAGGGAAGCTGTTGTTGTTTCCCGTGGAATTATTGCTTCCCCAATTATCACAAGTGAATCATGTGTGTCCAATGCCCTATCAATGATGGAGGGAAAATGTGCAAATAGGCCTATGTACTAACCAAAAAAGGTCAAATAAGCCCTTATTTAGGAGACTCTGCCCGGTTGTCGCCATTTGGAGTGGTTCCCGGTGGAATTTTTTGATGAAAATTTTTGATCATCTTATTCATGAATTCTAGTTTACTCATACCAAATTTCAGCTAAAACTTCAATCGGGAAGGCATTCAAATGAATTCTTGAAAATAACTGTGCAGTTAGAAGCGCAGTTATTTTCAAGAATTCATTTGAATGCCTTCCCGATTGAAGTTTTAGCTGAAATTTGGTATGAGTAAACTAGACTTGATGAATAAGATGCTCAAAAAAATTCATCAAAAAAATTCCACCTGAAACCACCCCAAATGACGATGGCCGGACAGAGCCTCCTAAATAAGGGCTTATTTGACCTTTTTTTTATTAGTACATGGGTCTATTTGCACCTTTTCCCATAGATGGATCGAACAAGTCACACGTGTGAATTACATGTCACTCATATGCAAAATAACTCTATGATTTGCATATTAATATACTTCGTATTATTATATACTTCGTGTATGTGTAACTAGTGTTGAACCCGGGTGTTGCCCCGGGTGGTGTTGGTACTTTTCATATTTGGTTTTTTAAATGATATTCGAAACTTATGAATTTGGGCTGCTCTTAGCCAACCGATTTTTGTGGGCTTCTCTTTGGATTAAAAAACTTGTGAATTGGTGAAATGTAGAATTAATGAAATCCCTCTTAATATAAAAGTTATGCACATGATCTCATCGCGATTCAAACAATGTTCAAACCCATATATTACAGTTAATCACCCATGTCATACTCTTAATCAGAATGATAAATTTTCACTGAGAAAATATGTGTCTGAGGGTCAAATAAACATGCACGTAAATTTGTTTAGATATCTAAATGTTAAAAATGCTAAAGGCTTTCATTTTATCCAATCATTAAATTTTTTATTAGAGAATAACTCATGTAAGACTCAATCAACACATGATTTTTTATCTATGTTTTTAGTTATATGTGGATGATGCGGATAACCAACATATAAAAGGGATTTCAAAGAATAAACTCAAACTAAATGACTATTTAGTTTAATCATTTCTCTATTTAGCCTATTAAATTTTGATAGGGTCTCTTATAAATTATTCTTTAAGAGTCAGAGAATTACCGAATGAATTGAGTATTTTCAATCAATGTTTTGTTGGTGCTTTTCATATGGTTTGTGTCTCGTTCATTTGAAATGCACATATTTGATCATTACTAAATTTAAATACTCCAATTCTTTAATAAGTGCAAAGTCATCAATCACATATTTACTTGTATGTATATAATAAACATCATGAAGATTCATCCTATATGGGATCTCAGAATCATGAACAACTACTTATTTCAAAATATAATTCACAATGGTGAGGGTAAGAAGTTTGAGAAATTTAGTGCCCGTTTGATGATCGAGCTCTTTGTACTTAAAAAATTATATATTGCATTTATGAAATTAAAATAATTTGAGTATATTTGTAGATATATTATCTATTAAAAGACTAATATCTCATTTAAACAAGCATTGTACATAGGGTCGGCACGGACCACTTCATTAAAATCCCAGACCAAAATCCCAGACCAACGCTGTTGGCTCGGACTTGGCACGGAATATGAATACGTCCCACCTGGCTTGTGCGAAATGGGTTGGCACGGCGGAAAGCTTCCGAGCCAAACCTTGGCTCGGAATTGGGCACGGAGATAGCCGGCCGGCACAACCTTATTTAATAATTCGCAAATAGTTGCACGGATTTTACTTGGCACGGATATTGGTCCGGCTACTACCGGGTCAGCCAAATCTTTACCCGGTTTTTTTGGCTCGGATAATGTCGAGCCAAATTCTCTGAAATTTCAATGCAATTTGTTCATTTAATTCGAAATTTTGGTTTGGATATACCCGTTCCAAAATTAATTTAAGGGAAAACTGTCAAATCAGTCCACTTACTATTATGAAAAAGTCAATTAAGTCCATATACTATTTTTTCAATCAATTAAGCCGGTGAAGTGTCAAATTTTCACCAATTTTACCATTTAACCGGTAAACGACAGGTAGCCCCTGTATTTGCTGATACGGATTCCACTTGGCTATTTTGTACTGTTTTTTTTCTTTTTTCCTTTTTTTTTATTTCTTTCTTCTTCATTTTTTCTCCTGTTCGTCCCTACCGACTCTATGCTCTGCAACTCCCCTCTCTTCATTCTTTTTTTTCCTTTTTCCCCTTCTTCTCCCCGCAACTCATCCACTCTTCTTCTTCCCTACTGTTTCTAACCCACATCCTTACCCAACCATCTCCTCCCTTCATTCTTTCTCATTAGTTCAGCCCCCATCTTCTTTCCTTTTCTTTCTTTTCCCCTTCTTCAATTCTCCAATCTACTTCTTTTACAGTTCTACCTCACCCAACCTTCTATCCTCCCTTCTTTCATGGCTAGAGACTAGAGAAGGCGAATTTGCCAACCCGAAGGCGACCCCTGCTCTTCTTCAATGGCAACCAGCTGACAGCGACGGCGGCGGCAGAACTCGACGTCGGCGGCGGAGCTCGACCGAGATGGAAGCGACAGAGTGGAAGGTGGTAGAAAATGGAAAGCTAGAGGGGGAAGAAGGAAGAAAGAAAAGGAGAGAATAAAGAAAGAAAAGAGAAGAGAAACAAGAAAAAGGAAATTGAAGGAGAGGTGCAGGAACGGTTCTTTGAAGAAGAAGAAAGAATAAAAAAAGGAAAAAGATAATTTAATGCCACAAGGATGGCCAAATATGCGCTTACATGGAAAAAAAGCCACTTGGATGATCCACGTAGGCCTATTAACCGGGAAATGGATCAGTTACCGGAGAAAAGGCAAATTTGATCATTTTTTGAATCTTGGTGGACTTAATTGATTGAAAAAATAGTACATGGACTCAATTGACTTTTTCATAATAGTACGTGGACTAATTTGACAGTTTTCCCTTAATTTAACAAAAAAAATGTACATCGTACATATGTACGGAATAGCGTACACATGTACGGTGTACATTTTTTACAGACTATCATAAACAAAACAACATTAAAACAGAATCATAAATATAAGAACAACACATGCAATATAGAGCAAATTAGAGCACAATAAAGCAAATTAAAGAGCAAATATAACAAGCCAACATTAAATTATTACAACAGTCCAGGCAGATAAACCATTGCCGAATAAGAAGTCAAAATGGCAAATAAATTGCCAGAAGATGTCCAGAACTTATAATAAAATTAAAAGTGTTTGTTCGTTACACAAAGATGTCTTCTAGCCGAACTTCATCCGAATCATGGAGCCCATTCATTTGGCCGGAGGTCGGGGTACAAAAAGGCGAGAAATCAGGCAGCGGGACGGAAGGGTTCAAGCTTCGCACTTGTTCCATGTACGTTGTAAACGCGGAACTCATGTTCGCCATCTGAGTTTGCCACTGCTTTTCCTACTGCGCAAATCGGGCTTCCAGCTGGTCCTTGATGCGGGAATCAATTTCCTGCTGAGTCGGCCCCAATATTGGGTTGGAACATTAAACTTAAGACAGCGATTCGGCTTCAGATCTCGTCCCAAACCACCTGCCTTTGTACAGCGGGACCACCGCGCAAAACAACTCGGAATCATCCTCATCGTACGATTTCCCTTGAGATTCGGCTTGGGCTTTCATTTCATTGTACTTTTGCTGCAATCAGAAAACTTTTGTTCAAATATATTCATTCTATAATATAATAATATGAAAACATATACTCCCTCCGTCCCACAATAAACTTCATATTTTGACTTCACACAAATTAAGAAAATAAATTTGACTTTACTGTGGAGTGCACTATTTTGCACTGTTCAAACACTGTTTGGACACTGTTTGACACTGTTTGGCACTGTTTTGATGTAGATAATTTGCCAAATAAGGAAAGTTTTGAAGTGTGAAGTTAATATCGGGACTGCTCAAAAAGGAAAGTGACGTGCACTTGTCGTGGGTTGCACTCAAAATAATTATACAATACAACACTAATACGTAGTAAAGTGTAGTAAGGTTCGTATCCACAGGGAAAGGAATACTCTTCTTTTTATAGAAATAAATAAGTAACAAAGGGGTTTTTTATGTTTGGTTGATGAACTTAAAATTTATATTTAAATAAACACAAAGATGAACGACTTATGTGGTTTAATTAATGAGAATAAGACTTGGCTTTGCTTTTATCCACTTAATGAAATGTTCGTCGATTCCGGTTATATCTTTAACTATCTTCCTCTCGAATACTCAATCGAGGAGTATATCCAGTTCATCGAGGGTAGTTATTAATAACGAGATACGTTCATTACTAAAACTTACTATCGAGTCAATATAGAACAAGCGCCGTATATTAACTTGATAGTAGCAATAAACTTAAGATGAAAACGATTGAGATTGATAACCTCAACACAAGCGGTTTATTGGTTTAATCAATATAATTAATTCCTCTTGGCTTATTAACCATGAGAAGTATGCATTAACAACCCAAGTTTACTACCATTGAACGAACCGAATTAATAACAAGCGTATTAACCGATTGATTCTAGTAATAATTAATATATGAGACAAAACTAATTTATCCTTTAAGTAATGCTCAAAATATTAATGTAGAATATGAATAGGAAGTAATTAATATTCAAGGAAGAAGATTAAAGAAAATAACTCACAACTTACAAATCATTAAGCTTCAAAGTAGCAAAACCAAGATGGAAGAGTTTAGCTCCTCATTTGGAGACTAAACATGATAAAATATAAATAAAGAACTTGTCTAAACTGATCTAAGAAGTATATAGGAATTGGTTCTCTATTGTGAAGGAAAGGGGGTGTATTTATAGGCTTTTTGGGAGTGCAGCTCGGGTACTCGATCGAGTATATACATATACTCGATCGAGTATGTGTAGAAATACCAGATTCGAGGTATACTCGATCGATTTTGGCTTAAAAATCAAAGGCGTACTCGATCGAGTATATGTTCATACTCGGTCGAGTATGTGTAGAAAGTGATATTCGAGCCATACTCGACCGATTTCGGGTTTAAACTCAAAGGCATACTATATCGGGTATGTTGGTCTACCCGATCGAGTATAGACACTGAATCGTGGCCAAAATCTTCCCAGCATGTTCCTTTGTCTTCGGATCCGATCCGATTTGAAGTTTCAACCTTATACACGATCGAGTATAGGTAATACTCGACCGAGTATAGACCAAAATCAGGATTTTCCCTTTTTGTCTTGTGATTTGCACCTTCCTTCCACTTTTGGGATTCACCAACCATCCTTTGAGTGATAGTAGACCTGTTTGAGCTCAGAATAAACCTAATCTAAACAATTTACAAGAATTTAACAAACTAAACTATTACACCAAAAGTGTGTAATTTCCGAAATATTAAACAACCAAAACTAGCTAAAAACATAAATATACACACGGAAATTACAAGTGTATCAGAAAGTGTGAAGTTCATTGCGGGACAGAGGGAGTAACAAACTGATATATACTTCGTATAATTTACCTTAGTTTCAACTACACGTGTTGGGGGGTCACCCGATTTTGGGACATACACCTTTTCGAACACTTCAATCTTCAAGGGAGCCCTAGTCAACTCCTTGGTCTACGGATTTAAAAGTAAAAAAATCATTAAAGGTAAAGAATAATAATCATTGATTTTTTTTAAATTTATAACAGAAACTTACCAGCCTTTCAACATGCGTAGTCACCGGAATCCTGCCACCGTGATATTGTGATTCTTTCCCCGCTTTAGAGTTTCTGTTCTTCTTTCCAGCATGGCTCTTCTTCTTAAAAGCATCAGAGGCCCAATATTCTTGCAACAACTTCCAATCTCCTTCACCAATCCAGTCCGGCTTCTTGTTGTCCCGCCTAGCCCTACCAATGTTTTTGCTCAACCATTCAGAGGCCCGAGACTTGAACTTCTTTTTCATTTTGGTATTAAAGCAGACATCCCACTCATACTTTTTCTGAAAAAACAATAAAAAAATTGATCAACATCAGAAATCACAATCTGTCTAAAATAAAAACTAATTGTACTTAAACAATAAGAATAAAACGCTACCAGTGGTTGCGTTGATCAACATCCGCATTCATATAAGAACGCCATGACCCGTGGAAATTGTTAGTTAGGATAGAAATGATGTTGTTGAGGACAGTAGGATTGCTACATCATAAAAGCACACATTAGTAATGTATAGGTAGGAATTTTTTATATACCATTACCTAATGTTGTCTAACTTTACCTTCTCATTTCAAAGGGTGAAATGAAGGTCTTTTTCTGAACAGATTCGTCGGGGGTAGAAGAATCAAAACCATTTGTATGTTCATCAGAAAGGTGTCAGGATTGGACACGCTCATGCGAATCAGCTAGAGGAGAGTTCTGCTCATTCCGGGTGATGACTGGGCTACCTCCACCTCCCCGACCGCCGCGGGAGGAAGTAAACGAAGTGAATGAACCTCTACGAGCGGGCATTCTGTTGAAACGCATAGCAATTTTATAGAAAGCGACAGTGAAAAAATTAGGTTATAATCAAATAATAATATAGGATAAACAAAGGCAGTTCATTTTTTCCTGTCAAACTCCCAAATATAGATTTAATAATATACACAGATTGTTACACCAAGTAATAAAAGGAGGAGTAATACGAGACAGATTGTCAAACTCCCAGAATGTTACACCAACTAATATTGTTACATCATGTATATACGGTTTCATGCTGTCATAATTATTAATATTGGTTTAACAATATTTATATTTAATGCAAAAATTATCCGAAAATCACACTTCTAAAAATTTTACAAACACCTAATAATATTTCTTACTTTGCAAAAACAATACATCTATAATCACTAAACAAGTCAAAGAAGATAAAAGTATATACACTTGCATGCTATCAATATTTCGACATATTGATTAAAATAGTAATCCTTCATGAAAGTATAAAGAGGCGAAAATCATTTACTTATAAATTTTTGGAACTCAGCAGTATAAAAGAGTTTCAAATTTAAGAATTTATATACTTCGTTTATAATACTGCGTTCACAAAATGATTATAATACTTCGTTTCTAAATAATCATTTATAAACAATTGATTATAATACTTCGTTTATAAATTTATAAATACTTTATAAGTACCGGTTACATTTTTTAAATTGATTATAATACTTCATTTCTAAATAATCATTTATAAACAATTCATTTGAAAATAGTTGTTTATAAATAACGACGTTATAATAAACTTAAAATAATAATATGTTGGATATGTTTATAACAGTTATTATGAAAAACCTTAAACAATAAACTATTTAATGATACATGACCTGGAAAAAGAGCGAAGACGATGGCGGCAGTAGTCTGAAGATGTGTCGGAGGCGGCTTGAAACACGGCAAGCGTCGTCGGCGGATGGCTCGTGGTGGACAGACTAAGTGAATACACAGGACGGGAGATGGAGGTCGGGGGAGGCAGAGTAAGTGGTGGCCGGAGTAAGTGGCGGTTGCCGGAGTAATGGGCTAGGTGTATACAGAGGCGGATGTGTAGAGGGAGGGAGATGAATGAAGGGGGAGGCAGAGTGTAATGGGATAGGGTTTGGGACAGATTATATACTTCCCTAACTTCCGTCGTTGGCTCGGCCGTATCCGTCGCAAAATCGGTGTTGGCACCGCGATGGGTCGGAAATATTCGTCCCAAATGCGCGGAAAACAAGAAGCAAACGGTAGGATAGATCAGTTGCTATACCGTGGGAGCAGCCCATGGTGCGCATGCTGCTCCACAGGCAAAAAAACGCGTGTTGCTGTTCACGCGCGTGAACAGTAACTTCTTTTTAATTTTTTCATTATCCCAACAGCAGAACGATGTAACTCGCGTGTACAGAAATGTAACTACACTAATAAGATATGTAACTGCAGGCAAGTCAGAATGTAACTTGTCTCTTATGGATTATAAGAAATAAAACATTTATTTCAATGAAAACAAGAGGTCTAATTGCTCAATTACTTTACGTAAATAATGGATACATTTTTTCAGTATTAATACCATAAAATGTTTTTAAAAGAATCTCTTTTGTGGCAAAAATAATTATTATTATAGCCAAAAAAATTACTTTTCCCCCAAAAAATCATGTTTTTTTGCAAAACAATGATTCTTTTGTTTGAATAGTAGGGCTTTATGAATTTAACTATGTTGTAATTTAATTAGTTAAAGATAAAGATAAGTAAAAAATAAAAAATAATTAAATGTGACTCGTGCATAACTAAACGTAACTCGCGTTGCTACAAATGTAACTTCAGTTAACAACAAATATAACTTGTGCTCTGAAGTGTAACTCATGTTACTCCCTCTAATAGTTCTATCACTTTTGATATGTAAAAATGTAAAATGTAAACCACGTGTTATAAAATGTAACTTTAAATACATGGAAATGGAAATCGAAGATATGTAAAAAGTAACTTGAGTAATGTAAATGGAGCTAAATAAAAAATGTAAATCATATTAATTTAAATGTAACTTGATCACAATTGAAATGTAAATAGGTTTAATAGAGATGTAACTTGAGCCCAAATAAAATATAACTTGTCCATTATACATACATACACGGATACACCATATATTAGTATAATGAATACCAAGCACGAAGCACAATCGTAGATTCGTAGATGCTCTTTCAAAACAAAAAAAAAATCGTGGATGTTGTTAAACTCAGGAGTCCAAATGAAGTTTTTCGCTGGTGAACCTCTTCATCAGATTACGATGGATTCCAGGTGAGACAACGAGAAGAAGTTAGGAGAACAACAAACGATTTGGATCTGGGAAGGAACAATCATGATCGGAAACTGAGCTACTATTCCGGCGCGGCGCTCCCAGACATATAGCAGAGGCACAGCAGTGTAGCAGGTCTAGATGCACAACAAGGTCAAAAGCAATTCCAGATGCAGAGCAATTCCAGATGATGGTTGGAGCCAAGCAATTGCAGATGCGGACTCTCGATTTAGTGGGGCAAGACAAATTCGCTTTATGTTTTGATGGGAAAACGGTACCGTTTTGGGATCGGTACACCATGAGCATGGTGGGCCGATCCCACGGTATAATTTGCGGGGATAGATTAATTTAAATTTTGAATAGGATAAGGCACGAATATATCCGTGCCAAACTAAAAAGGCGTCTGAAACGCTGTGCAGTCGGTAATTATTTTGTCAGACAGGCGGTGACTTGGATTTGACAGGGATAAGGTCGTGCCAATAGCGTAGATGACAGCGGAATTATGGTTTTGAGACGGAAATATCCCAGCCAAGTCCTTGCCAATCGCTCAACTTCTAATATAAATATGTCATATTGAGGAAAACTGATATAATAGTGTCAAAAAAGTTACAAAGTGTGAAATTGGAAAAAGATTTATTAAGGAAAAATCAGAAGGTTCAAGTGATAAAAAAATATGGGGATGCGATTTTGATTTGTTGGGAAAAAAATTGATACTATAGGAGAAATACTTAAATATATGAAGCCTGTTGATGATGCTGCAGCCGAAGAAATTAAAACGTTACTGAAAAGGAAGTGAAGTTGAGGCTAAAAGTGAAGATCATGGTAGGAAGCCAGTTTGAAGATTCCAATTGGTGTATCATTTTATATGTACTGTTATTATCATGTATCGTTTGATTATGTAATTTTTATTATCGTGTAGCGTTTGAGTTTTCAGTAATTTTATTCTGTTTTGACTTAAATTAATGTAATAAAAACTCCCTCTTTTGGCGTAGTAAAATCGGTTTGAGTTTTTAATAAGTTGAAATAGTTTTTTTTATTTAACTTGGAATGTTTTTTTTTTGTCAGACCAGACCCATTCAGATTAGATAAGATCAGACAAGACCGAAAAGTTTAGCCCAAGTAAAAACATTTTAATTTGCTTAATAAAATGTGCATTTAAAAAAAAAACATTGTTAAAATTATTTGAGAATAGACACATTTTAAAAAAAACATGCAATGTTAAAAAACCATTGCTTAAACTTTTTGATAGAAACATTGCTTAATAGAAACATTTTAATTAAAGCAATTAAATAGACCAGAAATTATCTACCCAAGTGCATTTTAAAATTACTCAGAAACAATCTAGACTAGAATTTGAATTATTCGGAAACAGACATGACAAGCAATAAAAATGTTGAAATAAAATTACTTAATAAAACAATATTTGATGAAAATAAAACAATTCATTCTTGTTCATCTTCAGAGTCAATACGGTCAACGTACTCATCATCATCAGTATCTTCCATTTGAAAGTTCCATTCTTCTTCTTCTTCATATTGAGTTCCCTCGTTCGGACTTCGGACCATCGTTGGCGTCGTTCGGGTCAAATTCTATTTCTGCTCCAGTAGAATCTTTCAAAATAATATCCTCCTCAATAATGTCTAGAACTGGGGGTTGAAAAAACTCTTGTTGGTAAACATCAATATCAATGTTTTTTGTAGCGCGTGGGAAACAACTTTTCTCAGTCTAATTGTGCATGCACTTAACCAGCCAGTGCGATTGATCCGTGTCGTCAGATATTCCGCGTAATACACTTGGGCAGCCTATTGAGCTAATATGAATGGTTCATTTTTCGGATACACACGCCTGTGATTAACATCCAACAAGTTATGTTTGTGATGTTTTTTTACCCCCCTCACTGGATCTACTCATGTCCATTTGAATAATACACACGATAACTTCTTGTCACCAGGGAATTTCATTTCAAGCATCTCGTCCACGTATCCAAAAAAACTAGTCTCTGAATTGTCGTAACTACAAGTCGACACACTCACTCCACTGTTCATTGTGGGTTTATTGTCTCCGTAAGCCCGTGTATGATATTTGTAGCCATTGACAAAATATATCGACCAACACCTCACTAGTGTTTCAGGACCCCATGCTAATGACTCCAAGAAAGGATCAACGGGAGAATTTTCAGCTTCACTGAGTATCTGCAAATGTCATTTAATACCAGCAATGAGTCATGAATACTATAAAATTGATACTTGCAACTAAAAAAACCTTATTGATCTGCCAAAGTTTTGAACCATCCTGCAAATTCAGTGTTGATCGTCGCATCAATCATCTCATTGGAATAACCAGCTAGAGAAAGCATTTCTCTATAATCACTACATTTTTGTCAAGACAATGAAATGGTGAGAGTCTTTGTTAGTGTGGAAAATAAATATTTACGAAGTTTGTTAATATTGACTTACTTGTAATACGGAATAACTTCCGGACAGTTCATCAGAATGTAAGTTTGTGCAATTCGAAACTCGTCTCCGACAACATGGCGGTGTGTCCTTCTACCATATCATTTGCCCGAATAGTTGAAGATGGAAAGCATTTGATCATACAATGCTGAATCAACATTATCATTTCTGACAGGCCTTTTTCGTTTAGTCATGATATCTCTTTCGAAATAGAAGGAAGAGAATGTGGAAACTTCTTCTGTGAGGTATGCTTGGCATATAAATGCTCCAACGTGTGCTTTATTTGTCACCTTCTTTTTCAGCTCTCTCAAAAACCTACGAAATTGATGAAGTAAAATAATATATATTATTTTATTTAATAACTACAATATATGAAACCATTTACAAAATGCATAATAATTTTACCTCTCAAATCCGTACATCCATCTATACCAAGCCAGCCCTGCGGTCATTGCTTCAAATGGAAGATGGACAAGTAAATGCTCCATTCCATCGAAAAAGGATGGAGGAAAAATCTTTTCCAAATTACACAAAATAGTGGGAACATTGCGGTGAAGATCCTGAATTGCTTGTATGTCTAGCACCGGTGAGCATAGTAACTGAAATAATTGACAAACATCACAAATAGACGCCCACACATTATATGGGAGATTTTCCTTCACTGCAATTGGAAGGATGCGCTGCATCATTACATGGCAATCATGACTCTTCATATTCTTCATCGCCAAATTCTCTATGTCAACACATCTATGAAAGTTAGAAGTGTATCCATCAGGGAATCGTAGCTAGATGAGCCACTCCAATATGCATTTCTTCTGCTCGTCCGTGAGTTGATAAACTACTTTCTTGAATGGATCGACATACTTAGGGCCCATAGCAATTTCCGGTCTATCACAAAACAAAGCTACATCTTTCCTTGATGAAAGGTCATCCTTAGTCTTTCCCTTGAAGTTCATAATCGTGTTAGAAATGTTATGAAAACATTTTTCTCTATATGCATTACATCCAAATTATGCCTAATGAGAGGATCCTTCCAATATGGCAATTCCCAGAAAATGCTTTTCTTTGTCCACTTATGATAAGTTCGATATCCATCTGGATACTCAAGAGGCTCGTCTATGGCAGAAGGGATGTTTCAAACACGATCATAAATCTAATATCCTGTTAACCTCGGAGACGGAGGATCATGATCATTGCGACCCTTGATGAATGACTTCTTATCCTTTCTATACGGATGATTAGGAGGGAGAAATTTCTGGTGACAATCAAAGTAGGATGGTTTGCGGCTATTCTTTAGCCAAAATGCATTTGACTTTTCCATACAAACAGGGCAGCCCATAAGACCTGGAG